AAGCAATCCTGCAGTCCAAAATAGCATTCTTTTATTGGGCTAAGAAAGGTCATAATTAGTTAAGACTGATAGGGAAGTGTGAATAATTACCATATTTCAAGGCCTACACAAAGTTAACCTGATTTTCTTCTTTGAAAGATAGCACAGAGAACACAAGTTCTTTTTTGAGGTAAGACTTGGTTTTCTCCTTCATCACCACAATTGTAAAGCAAAAAAAAATCAAAACCAAATAGGAAGAAGAAAGAATGGAAATCCAGATTATTGAAGAAAAGAATGTATTTAGATTTGGCAAAATCGGAGATAAAGATAATATGATAATAATAGACACATGAGGATATCCCAAAGATAAAAACATATTTCAGCGCAGGAGAGACATCTGAAAATTTTCTGCATTTGTTTAGGCTAAATAAGATAACCTGTTGATCCAGTTAACACAAAAAATTGTAACATTAAATTAAATAATAAATATACTCTTCATTAGGGCCAAAGGAATTAGTAGCAAGCTCTCTTTAAAATGAAAAGGGATTTTCTTTTCAGAATCACTGCTATGAGAACATACTTCATCTAGAGAACTCGGAAGATTCTGATAGTTGCAGGTCTAGAATTATTGACCCCTTTATAGTGTTCACTAGGGGGTTATCTGTGAATCAGTGAATTCCCATAAGGCATTGGTGTCACTTCTATTTCTTGCTGTCTAAGCATCAACTTGGGGAGGAGCTGAGATCCTCCCTCCTTCTAGTTAAGAATCCATTATAAGTACTCCAAAGACATTAAGAAATAAACCACCTTCTTAGCTCACAAGCAGGCAAGAGTGTTCTATGCCATTGAAAGACTGAATTTATTGGCTTGTAATAAATATAAGTAAAATGAAATCATTCATTGTTTTGTGGGTAAGAGAGGCACAGTTCTAGCTGTCTATTATTTTGGAGTTGTGAGGGAAAGCAAAACATCATCAACGTTGCTGTCTGTCTGCTTTCTCAGCTCAATGATTAAAAATGCCAGTGAAGCCTGTGGATCTTGGCAAAGACCATTCTTCTTTGAATCTTACAGATTGGCACTACAATATCTGTACCAAATAACTGAAACCATGTGTCAAAAAGATGTTTTTTTCTTATTCTAACTGCCTTTATTCCTCAGTAGTATTATTTGTTTTAAAAAGCGATGATTAGAATTGCCATAAAACCTAAACATACAAAAGTGAATTTATGCATTTTCTTTGTTCTTGAGAATTGACAACAAGAATAATAAACATTATTTATTTATTAGATTGTTCATCAGAATGGTTGGCAAGACATTTGCTAATTGCCAATCAATTTATAAAATGATAAATAATAAGGATTTCCTGATAGTTGGTTCAAATATTTGAATAATTTACTTTATGAATAAAAAATTGTTTTCATATTTATTTCTATATAAATTGGCAAATAAATATTGCATTGAATTAGTTTTAATACAATTGTATTAGTTTTTAGAATATTATAAATATAAAAACATTCTTGTAAATAAAAATTCTAATAAATAAATAGTTGTTGTGGATTCTGAGATGAATTCGGTCTCCAAGGAATGACAAACACAATAATTAAATATAAGAAATAAAATGTATTTACACAATCATACAAAGAGTAATACTGTTAGTAAATCCAGGAATGTGGTTAGTAGCAAATACAGATAGATATATACAGTCTCGAAGTAGGACTTCCTTAGAGTCTACATGCTTGTAACTGACTTCTACATGAGGTTACCTCACACTATCTCAGTTCGTATATTCTCTCTCTCTTGCCGTATATCCTCTCTCACTGACTGTCTCACTCTGGGTATTTAACGGCAGCACTCCAAGTAACACTGGTAGAGTCCACTTATATGAAAAGGGGAGGACCCCATAACAATAGTGTTTAAAACTTTTTGTCATAGATTCTAAAGTACAAAAAAAAATGTATAAAATCACTTTCATCATATCTGTAGGTTTTATTAAATTTTAATCATTGCTTTTTAAAACAATAAACATTGCTGAGAATTGAAGGCAATTAAAATAATAGTAGTGTCAAGGGAAAACCCATCCTAATGACACATCACTTTTTTGCAAGCATGAAAGTTAAAGATTGCCAAGGGTTCCATATTTCAAACATTTGCAAGGACATATTTAATTCCAAATAAGGGGAAAGATGTAATGTACAATCAATTTCAAGCAAAGGGTAGCAACTTGACTATTAGGGCTCCCTTGCAGGAGAATAGGACTCAATTTTCACAGGTACAACAGTGTAGACCAGGCATGGGCAACCTTTTCTGACCAGTGGGATGCATCAGATATAGCTCATCATAAGGGATGTCACAATACTAAATAGATTCAAGATTGTTTCTTATTTATTCATTTGAAAATACAAAAAATAATTTTTAAAATAAAAAATATATTTTAAGCTAATATCAAGCAATTATGGGAGTTTTGCACAAAAGAATAGTCAAAAATTGATGCTCACTATTGCCAGAAACTTCTTAAAATGAGTCATCAGATATTAAATGTAAGGGTTCACTTACTTTTGCATATCTTAATTTTTAATTAATATTTTTATTCCAGGTTGATAAAAATTTTTGAAAGTCGTAATTCATTTAATAAAAGTTTTTCTTAATTAAGATTTGTTATCTGGAAAGAAAGAGACAAAATTTTAAAATACTATCTTCAGGGTTCACTTACTTTTGCACAGCACTGTATATATATGATCATGCAGCAAGGTAAGTAAGTAGGTTTACATAGATGAATAAAAACTGTTAGATAATCATTGATGTATTGAAGTAGGTTGGTAAGTAAATAAGTCTAGACCAGGTAAATATCTTGTCTGTGATGGATTTTATATGGCTAGAAACCTTCCTTTCTCTACCACTTTCACTTCTCCCTCTATCACTCTCTATACGCACACACACACAGACGTGTGTATGTATGTGTACTCGAAGAGAAAAAGAAAAAGAAAAGAGGGAAAAAGAGCAAGAAAAAGAGAGTGCAAAAGAGAGAAGGGTAAAAGGTAGATACATAGATAAAACTTAATAGTTAAAGATGTAGGCAGATAGATAAATTAGTAGGTACAGAAAGATTTAATTAAAGAGATTTTGTTGGGACAGTTAGCTAAATTGCCATGGACTGACTGAAGTTGTCTCATTATAAAAGTGACTAAGGTAGATTGATTGATGTTGATAAATCTGATATTTGGCTTTAACGTGTCTGCCTTCCTCGCTGAAGTAATGGAAATGGTTCCTGTTGATTATTGCTTGCAAATGGTTTCAAATTGGATGAAAGAAATTCTTTTGAGGAATTCAGAGCTAAACTACTTTAATTAGACTGATTTCCATCTGTTCAGTTGTTGGAACTGTCTTGTGCAAATGGCTTACCAATTTTTTTTCCTTTTAAACAAGCAGCAAATATAAAATGATTTAGAGAAAGAATAACAAGTTTTTACAAAGTTACAAGTTTACCATTCACCCATGCTTAAAATATTACTGCTACATATGGTCTAGTGCTCCTGGTATATATTTAGAGATCCTTGAAAAAAAATCCAAAGAATCTGCAATGTCATTGGTCCTGACCTGGCATCTCAACTTCAGTCACTTTCTCATACCGTAATATAGCTTCCCTGTGTCTTTTCTATGGCAATTTATGTAATTTTAATGTATACTCCTCTATGGTACTTAGACTCTATGAATTTAAGCACAGTACTATTAGGACCTTGAATAAGTTCTTGCTGGTTTTTGATGAAAAGTAATGTTTTATTTACAAAAATTAGCAAGAAACATGTCACTAAAAGTATCGTCCATTGCTAGCCGCTACTTTTTCCCATCTTTCTGGCAGCATTTGAATTCCATGTTGGAAAAACGACACATCTTTTGAGGCTAAACAAGAGTCAACCCATTTTTTGGCATCTTCATAGGAATAAAAGTGCTGATGTGCCATCGAATGGAACAAGTGATAATGGGATGGGGCAATGTCTGGTGAATATGGTGGGTGGGGTAGAACTTCCCATTTAAGCATTTCCAAGTAGATTTTCAGCTGTTATGCAACGTGGCCTAGCGTTGTCATGTTGCAAAATCACTTTGTTGTGTGTCTGCTCATACAGCGGCTGTTTTTTCTTCAATGCTCAGCTCAAACACATCCGTTGTAGTTGATAAAGATCTCCCATGATGGTTTCAGTCAGATTGAGCAACTCAAAATAAACTACACGCAGCTGATCCCACCAAATGCAGAGCAGAAGCTTTGAACCATGGATATTTGACTTTGTCGCTGATGTTGATGCATGGTTGGGCTTACCCCATGATCTTCTACACTTAGTGTTATTGTAGTGTATCCACTTTTCATTGCCGGTCATGATATGATGCAAAAAACCTTTCCTTTTCTGTTGTTGAAATAGCTGTTCACACATGACGTCTCTCGACTTCAACTCATACGGTACCCAATGTCCTCGCTTTTGAATCATTCTAAATCATTTCAAATATTTCAAAACTGTTGAGTGATCAACTCCTAATTATTCTGCAAGTTCAGCTTGTGCCTTACATGAGTCTTCATGAAGTAATTCCTCCAATTCTTTGTCTTCAAATTTTTTCAGAGTGCCAGAGCATTCTTTATCTTTAACATCAAAATCATTATTTTTGAAGCATCTAAGCCAATCTCTACATGTTGTTTTCAATAAAGCATGATCACCGTAAGTCTCAACAAGAATTCTGTGTTCTTTAGCTGCAGATTTCTCTTGAATGAAGTAGTGCAGTAAAATTCCCTGCAAATATACTTTCTTTGGCACAAAATCTGACATGTTTAATGTTATGAAAAACAAAGTTATTTACACTTCGACGAAATGACATACACTGAATTTCAAGCTTGCTTATAGTACTTCCTTATAGATGCATTACCATCTGAAACTACACAAATGTTGTTCTGAGAACGTTATCTATTGAAAAACAATGAGAACTTATTCAAGGTCCTAATAGATTGGCAGCAAGGTCTCATTATTTTACAGTTGAATTGTTTAGATGTAACCATAAAACAGTTTCTTTTCTTACACTTCTGGCTTATTGAACTCTCTTCTGGCTTCTGGCTTTCCAGTTAAGATTAATTTAAAACATTTTAAATACAATGTCAGTCGTTACCTTCTGTGTTTTTAATTTCTGTTCTTTTACTGTTCTCACACCTTGCCTTGCTTGATTAAAAAAATAAAATAAAAGAAAAGAAAAATACAAGATGCTTAAAATTTGGGGAAGCCAAATATAGTCACTCTTCAACCACTTCCTACTCGGTCTTATGACCACCTATAAAATATCATAAAATATAAAAAAAACTTTTTTTGAAATCCAACCAGTTGATAGAGTATATTATATAAAAACTTTGATTGTGATTGTTTTCTCTTTCTCTAGAATGAGTGGGTTTGTGGGTCATGTAATGGATAGTGGCTCAGAATGAGAAATCAGAGAACTGAGTTCAAATTCCAGTTGGGTTCATTATAATATTCACTTATATGCAAATACCCTTGGAAAAGGTATGAATTTATCTCATATCCTCAGCTACACATTAAAATAATTATTTTTACAATCCAAAGTATATTTTAGTTTTAAATAATCCACAAAGAGATGATGAGCTGTAAAAAAATAGTTAAAACAGTCAGTTCTTCAAAATGAACAGATAAAGTGAAAAAAATATATAAAATTTAGATTCTACTGTATATACAGCCTGCAAACTGAAGCAATGTACAGAATACAATATCAAATTTTGCCAGAGTTAATTCGTCAATAATCTGGATTTCCATTCTTTCTACTTCCTGTTTGGATTTTTGCTTTACAATTGTAATGACAAAGGAGAAAATGAAGTTTTACCTTGAGAAGGTATTCATGTTCACTGTGCTGTCTGTCAAAGAAGAAAATTAGAATCAAGATCGAGTTGACTTTAGTTGGCCTTGAAATATGTTAATTATTTGCATTTCTCTACCAGTCTTGACCAATCACAACTATTTTTTACTACAACTACTTTAGATTGCACGATTGCTGGGCACTTTTGGGGTGAAGAAGGTAGTTGTGTGTTGTGATGTGGACTTTTAAATTTTGATTATTGCCATCCCCCGCATTTTCATACATTGAACTTGCAAGACTGATTTTTAAACTTTGGAATTATGACCTTGGATTCCAGATTTTTCTCATCTATTGCTATTTAGCTTGACAATCTAACACAAACACTTCTTTATTCAGGACTGTTTTATATTTTTTGTCTGTTTTCAGTCTTTCTCTTTCAGTACTTGATATAGCATCTATGTTACTATAGAGGGGTTGAGGGTGCTACAGACCCCCCCTTTGCTGGAACTAAAAACTAAACAGAAGATTACATTTGTCCACTTGGCCTCAATCTATGACAATACTATTGAGCTTTTAATGTATAAATTGTCTAAAATAATTACTGCCATTAATTTTCAATATAAATCAGAAAATTTCATTTTCTGTTTTTTTTTTCCTGAAATTTCATCTTTTAGAATTTTTATATAGAAGTCTCATATGCAGAATAAGTTGACAAGTCTTTTTCTTGAAAATAAGCACAAGTGAAAAGAAAAAATGTATTTAAAATAAAAAAAAAAATGTCTACCTTAGGAAAATACATCTAAAAATTATTCAATTTATGAGAAGATCCGCTAAAAATTATAGAATCAGGAATCCTTACAACCTAACATTTGGTTTAACCCTGACACCACTTTTAATATCTGATTTAGCACATATTCACCACTTTTGAGATCTGACTTAGCACTTACTCCCTCATTTTGATATCTGAGTTAGTCTTGACTCCCCACTTTTGATATCTGATTTAATGCCCACTCCTCAATTTTAATATCTGACAACCCTTGATCCCAATTTTTAATATCTGATTTAGCATCCACTCCTCACTTTTAATATCTGACTTAGCCCTTGCACCCCACTTTTAATATCTGATTTAGGCTTCATTCTCCACTTTTCATATCTGTGTAAGTCCCCAGTCCCCACTTTTAATATCTGACTTAGCCCTTGCTCTCAACTTTTAATATTTGATTTTGTTTTTATTCCCCACTAATAAATAATTAATTTAGCACCAACTCTGCATTTTTAATATCTGCTTAGCCCTTGCTCCACATTTTTAATATTTGATTTAGCCACCTGACTTTTTATTTTGTGGAACTATCTTAGTCTCTATTCAATATCTATCTATCTATCTATCTATCTATCTATCTATCTATCTATCTATCTATCTATCTATCTATCTATCATGGTCTCTATTCAATATCTATCTATCTATCTATCTATCTATCTATCTATCTATCTATCATAGTCTCTATTCAATATCTATCTATCTATCTATCTATCTATATATCTATCATAGTCTCTATTCAATATCTATCTATCTATCTATCTATCTATCTATCATAGTCTCTATTCAATATCTATCTATCTATCTATCTATCATAGTCTCTATTCAATATCTATCTATCTATCTATCTATCTATCATAGTCTCTATTCAATATCTATCTATCTATCTATCTATCTATCTATCTATCTATCTATCATAGTCTCTATTCAATATCTATCTATCTATCTATCTATCAATCATAGTCTCTATTCAATATCTATCTATCTATCTATCTATCTATCTATCTATCTTAGTCTATTCAATATCTATCTAAATGATTTAAAATGTTGGGATTTCAAATTTCCAACTGTGTCAATGATATGCATGATCAACACTTGTATAGATTGAACTGATATATTTGTTAATTATTAAATATATTTAAAACTTTATTTCATCGACTAAAGATATTTTAAATTAGGTTTGTTTTAATAATGAGAGTTTCAAATATTTAAAATATCTTTTAACAAATAATATGCAATGTTAGTGTATTATTTACTAATATATGTCTTATATTATTAATAATGACATAGTATTTAATTGATTTATATAGGAACATAGAGCACTCTGCTCTGGGTGCTCCATACTTTTGGCCTTGTGCCACATCTAATCAACACTTAGAAAATCACCATAGAACACTTTGGTTCAACAAGTGTCAAGTTAGTATATGTGAAAGAGTGGTGGTAGTATGACCAATAAAAAAATTAGCTGATTTTTTTTTTATTGTTATGAGAGACACATTTGTGTATTATCTGTAAATTTGAAGAATTGTTATCATTCCAAAATTTGTTTGGACTCTGGAACTCATTTTTAGTTACTTTCATTTACATTTTATTAGTGTTTGTATGGTGGAGTAATGGATAGCAGCTTGGATTGAGGAATCGAAGTACTGAGTTCGAATTCCAGTTGAATCCATTACATTCACTTATGTGTTAATACCATTGGGAAAGGTATGAATCCTCTTCTTCTCCCTCCAGCTATAGGTAAATAGTGGAACAGACCAGGTTCTATAGCCTTGGATGGTAACTGATCTACCATAGAAAGAAATGGCAATTTACTGTGGGAAAAAATCTGCCTCATCAGTCATGTATCGAAAGATACATGATCACCTAAGTGTGTGTCACACATGACACATAACTGAAAAAGTTTCTAATTGTATATTCAAAACAATGAAATCCCAAACTATTCCTTTTTTATCTCTTAATTTGTGAGAGATAAATAGGGGAATAATTTTAACCTTAAATCTGAATTATTTAAATAAATTATATTTTATTATTATTATTATTAAATTTGAAGTAATCTTGTATCTAATTTTTGTTGCTTTTTATCATAATTCTCAGGTCATTTTTACATTTATTCTATAACTGTTAAACAAACAGCATGTATAAGAAATGAAAAAATAAAACATCAGTGAACAAAATCCAAAGAAGAATCTGCAATATGATTGATCCCAACCTGGCATCTCAGTTTTAATCATTTGCCTATCACCATAATTTTACTGTGCCTTTTTTACAAAAATTTTCATAGCAATTGTCCTGATGAGCTTTCCTTTTTGTTTCTTTGACTTCACAAATTTAAGCACAGTACTTGATTGGCAGTAATTAATTAATTATTAAGATCTTGTCATTTTACTGTTGAAATTGATAAATGTAACCGTAAGTTCTATTCAAAAGGGTTCTTCTCTCACATTTCACAGCTATGGAACTCTCTTCCAACATATTGCTCTCTTGTCAGCTACAATCCATAAATATTTAATTAAAACATCAATCATTTCTTCTTATTGTCCTTTTTCCTTCGTAATATTTTTTTCAGTTTCTTTTACTCTATTGTCTTTCATTCTCTATAATCTCTTGCATCTTAGTGGCTTTATTGCCTTGCCCAGGATAAAATGATTAAAAATAAAAAAAACAATTTGAACCTGCATCTTTGGAAGTCTGTTTTACAATGACAATGCTTTACTTCTTAGGCTTCAGAAACTCAAATAATACATAAAATAACCATATAACTTCATCATTTCCTTTTCCCATCATTCTATCAATAATAATGACAATATTTCTCTTGAACTTTTCAGACAACTTAAGACTATTATATCTACTACTACTAGAGGAAATCCTTTGGGACTTTAAACAGTATTTAATGATCTTTATAAAAACAATTATTACAAAACACTCATGACCAATATTAAATTAAAGGCAAAAATAACATGTAAAATGTTCTTGTAAAGATTATTTTTCATGTAAAATTTTGGCAAGGTAGATACACGGCTAAAAGCAAGCAAGTTGATGTCCCATGTTAGATGTTTTTCTTTAAGATAATATAAATAACATTGTAACATGTTTAAGCTTTACTATTCATATCATTAAAAACATTATTTATTTTAGCATTGATTCTTGACATCCAAAAGTTTAATGTTAAATAAATTTTGCACAAAAATATTCTTAATTTTATATATACATGACAAAATATCAAGTAATTTTTAATTAAATTCTCATTGAAGTAAAATTACTATTAAATCTTCTTATATTCAACTTTATATAAATTTAACATTTAAAATTATTCTAATATCTTACATTTAAAAATATTTATTTTATTATACAATCTTATATTAAAGCTTATATTGGATAAATTAGTAAATGTCCAATGGACTTCTCTAATTGACTGTCGCCAGAGTTTCATGTCAAATCTCTTGTCATGATCAAATGTTGATTTATGAAAGTGCTGGCCTTGATGATTTAATGTGAACTTTAAAGTCAGTCAATGAGAGAAGTCAATCAAATATTTATTAATTTATTGAATATTATAGCTTTAGTTATCCATTGAGTACTTTTTGGCAGAAGTTCTGTTGGATTCAAAAATACATTAAATCAACAGGAGTAGCTAGGTTCACCTATCGAATGGTACACACTTCTCCCTGGTCTTTTGAATAGGAGTAGAGGCTTAATCTTTGTCTCCAGGTTAGGATTAGGTTTCCAGTTTCTTCTAAAGTGTTCTTATTCTCCTTCACTCCCAGTAGCCACTTGTGTCTTAGTGGCATTATCGACTTGCTTGGGGTGAATTAATTAAAGAAAAATACTAGTAATTTTTATGTATTTTAATTTGAATGTGAATTTGTATTGTATTATTACTTTTAAAGTTTATATAAATTTTAGGCAAATTTTCTCAAATAAAATTTTAATTTATATCATTCCATGAATTTTTTTATTTTGTATGAAATTTATGTAAGATTATACTAAATTCAATTTACAATAAACATTTTTAATGAAATTTTATATAAATTTTATATATCACAAAAATAAATTAAGTTCTCACTTGATTTGGTTTTAAATTTTTATATTAAATTTTATATAAATTTTACATTTGATTTTATTAATTTTATTAAATTCTATAAAATTAGAAAAAGATTTTGTTTCAAATGAATTATTTTTTGTTTTAATGAGTTTGATTCTCATTCAATGCCCAAAATGTGTGGCATTGCGCTATATTAAGCTAAGCTAAGTAAATTCCTATCTATCTATCTATCTATCTATCTATCTATCTATCTATCTATATATATATATATATATATATATATATATATGTATAGGGTGCGATGGATAAATTGTCGTCTAAATTATGCAAAAATGAAAATAACACTGACAGCTCATTTCAATAGATATATTTACCAAAATTAGACAAAAATATCTTGAAATACTTACTCATTCAATAAAATCACCATTGGCTTCAATCCTTGCCTTCAGTTCATATTTGGTGTTACAAGGAGTTTTGTTGGTCTCTTGCTCAACTGCACTCCATACATAATAATCAAGGGAGTTGCAGTCTAGGGAGTTAGGTAGCCAGATATAAGGGTGATGTGCTGTACAGAAATTGTCTGGCAGCCATGATTGGTTTCTCCTGCTTCTGTGGCATGGTGCAGAGTCCTGTTGCGAGACATACGGTTTTCCAGCAGCTACCCTATTGAAACAGGGAAGCACTACCTACTCAAGGCACTTTATGTAGGCTTCTGTGTGGAGTCTGAGGCCCTCATCAACAAATGTGACATAAAGAACTTTTATTCATCTCTATCTGAGAAGGAAAATGGTAAATTAGTGGAGGGAGATTGTATATCAAGATTTAATTTTGAGCACTTTTTCATTAATTTACCTGTTTTTTGACAAACATTTTTTTCGTTAAAATGTTGATTTTTTTCAAATGAATTATATATATATATATATATATATATATATATATATATATATAAATGTGTGTGTGTTGAGGAGGCATGGTGGGGTAATGGATAGCAGCTTGGATTGAGAAATCGAAGAACCGTGTTTGAAGTCCAGTTGAATCTGTTACATTCACTTACGTGTTTATACCCTTGGGAAAGGTAAGAATCCTCTTCTTCCCCCCCTCCAGTTATGGGTAAATAGCAGGACAGACTGGGTTTTATAGACTTGGATGGTAAGTGGTCTAGGAGAAGGACAACTCTGAATTCAAAACCTGAGTAGGGTTGGTTGGGGAGCTTTCTGGCACATGGTGCACCAGGTCTCTGTATTTGGCCCTTCAAAAAAATGTGGTTAGTTCTGCACAAAACTTTCACCACTATAATCAAATCATATGTGCTGATGTCTGACTGTCGGTTCCTAGGAACTGAGTTTCTTGACCTTCATATATATATGGATATTTATACATGTATACATATATATGTGTGTGTGTGTGTATATATATATATATATATATATATATATATATATATATAAAAATATATTATTAAATATAACAGACAATGAATGTCTATTATGTCTGATCATTAGCCATTCCAAAGTGTGTATATATAATCATGATCAGACATTATAGACATTCATTGTCTGTTATATTATATTTAACAATATATGTTTAAATAATGATCTGCTGCCTCAATACACTAAATGTCTATATATATATATATACATACATACATACATATATATATATATATATATATATATATACATATTTCTGTTAGCTCTATCTCTGATATTGAGCACTTTCTAATAAGTAAAAACATATAATATATAAATAATTATACATATATATATTTATTTATATTTATATTCACTTTTTTAAATATATATATATATATACAGAAATTTATAAAAAACAAGGATCTTTTCATTCATAAACAGGTTTTTGTATATTATTTGAATTGTTTGACATGATGGATTTCTCGCCAATTAAATCATTAACCTTTGTATTTGTTTTTTTGTATGAATAATTCATGAATATATATATATATATATATATATATATATATATATATATATATATATATATTTAGTTTATCAGGGGCATCAGATCATTATTTAAACATATATTATTAAATATAACAGCCAATGAATGTTTATTATGTCTGTTCATGAGCCGTTTGAATATTTGCTTTAATATCTGGTGAAAATGAAGACAAAAATTGTCCAACATTTGGATATTTTTTATTATTTCAGCTCACATAAGCCATCCTCTTTTTTGGTTATACAGACATGAAACAAAGATATGCACCATCAAAGATGATATTTTTTTATTTTGACATAAAAGAGTGCTATGCGACATTAATGGTCATAGAATAGCAGATGCAGATCGTAAATGATGTGGTTCTATGACATCATACTATATGATAGACTAAAGTATCACAACAGATCCAATGTCTAGATGCAATATAATGTGTTGTGACTAGTCTGAAATGTAATTTTGTTGTGTGTGTTTATCTTTGTTTTAATGTAGATGGCCTCCAATATCTGAAGGTTCTTTTTACTGTGTGTGTGTGAGAGCATTATTGTGTTGTCAACAGTGGATATATTTGTTTCATGCTTGTATAACCACTCTTAGGAATGTTAAAAAAATATCCAAATTTTGGATAATTTTTATCTTAACTTTCACCAGAAATTAAAGCAAATATTTGAACATGAGATATAATATCATAATAGACATTCATTGTTTATTATATTTAATAATATATGTTTAAATATGTTAGCCATGTATATATATATATATATATATATATATATATATATATATATATGTAAATGAGTATAAAGGGAAGAGGTTATAGTTGTTCCAACGGGAGAAAATTGTATATATTAAACAGAAGAAAGAAGCTGCAAATGTTTTTGGTTGAAATGTGGATTTTTTAAAAAAATATATATTATGCTTTATTTTCCATAATTTTGTAACACGTGTTTTGGGTCTTGCAATCTTCTTCAGGCAAAGAGTGGATATTTCCACATATTATTAAAATGAATTCATTTTCCTTATGTTTTTTTGTTGTTAAACATTCTCTACATGTATATACATACATACATACATTTACTAGGGAGCAAGAAAAAAAGATGAATAATCAGGAGGGCATAGATAGTCAAATTGACGTTGCATTTAAGTTTTTATGATTAAAGTTGGCTGGAGGTGGAAGTTCCACAAGCAAAAAAGTGTGAGAAAGGAAACTCTTAGTAAATTACTTATGGTTACATCTAGCTATATATATATATATATATATCCAAATATAAAAGAACAAAGAGTAAGATTTTAGCATTCAAAACATTAATTGCTTTTTAACTTCAATACAAAAGTAGAGCAATAAAATATCTATCTATCTATCTATCTATCTATCTATCTATCTATCTAATTACTACTTTACATTGAGCACTTTTAAAATGGGTAAATGCCGAATAAGTGGAATGAGAACACCATAAAAATTTTATCTCTCATTTTTTGATATTACATATATTATATATATATATATATATATATATATATATATATATATATATATATATATATATAGGATAAATATATATATATATTTTTATATATATATATATGTGTGTGTGTGTGTGTTTGTGGTATATATTTTTATATTTTTGGTTATTTTTAATAAATTCTAAGAAAGCATAATATAATACTATACATACATACATACACACACACACACACACACATATATATATATATATATATAGTAAATATATATATATATATACATATTATATATATATATATATATATATATATATATAATATATATAATATACATATATAATAAATTACATTATATATATATATATATATATATATATATATATATAGAAAATACATATATTTTTGTGTGTGTGTGTGCGTGAACACACAGGTATTTAGTCAATCTGTTCTTAATAATGAAAAAAGTATTTATTTTATGCAACAAATATTTATTTTTTAGCATAATTTTCTTCCTATGCTATAAAGTTAATTCAATAGATCTTCATTAACCTATGGATGAAACATTATACAATGAAAATTATAAGTGAAATTTCAAGCCATAACTTGCACTGATCTTGTTTCAATCTTTTTGTACTTGACTTTCTACTCATTATTATACTTCTTCTTCTTCTGGATATTGGCAATTATGGCTCTCCATAATTTCCTGTTTTTTGTAGCTCTTAGTAAATTTTTTCTTTTTGTTATCTCTCCTAATTGCTGTTCTGCTAACCATTTGCACAAACTTGACAGGTAAGTTATGTGCTGCTATGCTTTCCTCCACCCCTCTTGCTAAAATATATATATATATATATATATATATATATATATATATATATCTTAATAGTGATTGCTTTCCCTGATTGTAAAAAAGGAGATACAGTTTCAATTTCTATAGGTGGTACAAACAATTTATCTTTAGTTGGACATCTCAATCTAAGCTTTTATTAAGTCCGTTCACTGTTTAATAAAATAAAAAAAATACAGAGATATCAACTCAAACATGTGTACACACTAAAAGTAACATTTATAGTAATAAGAAATATATCTTGAATGTTTTTGTACTGTTTTAATGTATTATATTTTTATTGCAATTTCATCCATTTTGTAGTTGTAGTCCTTTTGAATTCTGTAAAATATGTTGATGGCATTGTTAATCTTAATTTGAGAACTTGAGGTTTATATTAAAATTATTGCTGTTTAAGTTAAGTTTGATTTAAATTTATGGCAGTGTAATTGCAGAAACTGTTGTTAATAACTGTTTGTTTTATACTATTTAATTAGAAAATATTGTTTGAAATGAGATTAATTTAGTTATTGAACTTCATTTAAAGAACAAATTAATTTTAATATAAACCCATGTTCTAAGGTAACATTAACCATAATGGTGCCAACATATTTTACTGAAATTATTATTACAAAAAAGATGAAATTGTAATGAATATATATATATATATATATATATATATATATATATATAAATTTTGTATACTTATTTTGAATATGATTCTCTTATATTCAATATAATAACTTTCTTTCTTCCTTTAATAAGTATACTAAAAAATTTGTCCGTGAATATGAGAGGGTTATATTAAAAGTAAGTAGAAAAAACTTGTCTAAATTATTTAATGAGATGCACACACACACACACACACACACACACATATATATATAAAAATGTTAATAATTTTAGTTTTTGACTAACATATGCAAATCTTAACAAATGACCAAATACCAAAATTTTTAAATCCTTCTTGGCCAAGCTGAGACCATTTCAGTGTACCCTGGCATATATATAAGGTGTATTTCAGTGACAATAATTCTTTCAAACATGTTTGGATAAATAATATTGACAATTCTATCAAATTAATAGACAGAACTTGCTGATATCATTTAACCAAACATGTTTGAATATATATATATATATATATATATATATATATATATATTATGAAATGGACAAAGTCCGACAATTATTTAAAGACATTTTTATGTTTAACATTCTTTTTATAGATACAACTATTTAAGTAAATGCTTTGTTCATAATAAACAGTATTAAATAACATTTATTGGCCTGAATGTCCAAGAAATTTGTGGCTGAGTGGTAAGGCACGTCAGGCTATATGACGGTTCCGTATAGGATACAGGTTCAAATCCTGTCGAAGGACCAATATTTTCTATGAAAATTTCTTGGACATTCAGGCTGGTAAATGTTATTTAATACTATTTATCATAAACAGAGCATTTGTTTTAATCATTTGTATCTAAAAGAATGTTGTGGGATAAAAATATCTTTTAAATATATTTATATATATATATGCAAGTTTCATTGAACTGACAAAAGCCTTTTATTAAATTCTTTTAGCATTTGTACATGTATATTTCTTTTCTGGATATAGATTGTGTACAACAACTGTCCAAATGATCTGTAGGTCTGACTGTTTTTGTCTAATCTATTAGCCATTATCAAATATGTTTATTTGTTTAACTGTAATTTCTTTCTTATTTTTTAACATATATCTGTAGGGATGGGATGTTTTTTAATTTCCAAACATGGACAGCACATTCTGGCCGTGTTCCTGATTGATATTATTGAGAGTTGCCCTCATTATAATTAAAGTTTTTGTTATTTTTAACCGTATCTTATCTTCATGTTATTCAGTCTATTTTGTTCATATGTCCCACAAGTATGTTGTGGACAAAGGTAAGTTGTTATTGGTTCATGTTTATGTAGGTCCTAATGGAACTATGATCTAAGAGGAGAAAAGTATGTTTTCTTGATACATACACAAATAGTAAGAATAAAAGCTAAAATGTAAAATAAACTAAAAGCTTAAAATATAAAATAAACTAAAGGGTCAATACCAAAGTCAACAGAGCCTAAATAAAATATAATAATATTATCAATTCCATAGTAAACTAATAATGATAACTTGGTTCTGTATTTCTGCATGAAACTTGTTAGTACATGAAACTCTTGTGGATTTTGGCATTATTGAATTGATAATATTATTATATTATTTTATATACATATATAAATAATTCTTCTGTCTATTAAACAATAGATAAATTAATGTTGTCGCTTGTCACTGACATTTTATGTAATTATAATTTTTTTTATTTTATTTTGTCTATTTATTTCTTTTATTTAATTAATTTATTATTAAATGTTATATTTTAACTTATTTTCATAAAATTTAAAAATTTTCTCTTTATGGAGCATTTATATTTATATATATATATATATATATATATATATATAAAATATATATATATTAATAATATTAGTGGTCAATATATATATATATATATATATATATATTGATAATATTAGTGGTCAATATATATATATATATATATATATATTGATAATATTAGTGGTCAATATATATATATATATATATATATATATTGATATATATGGTCAATATATATATATATATATATATATATATATATATATATATATATATATATCAAGAAGATATAATCCAGGTAGAGCTCTGTCATAGACAGAGCAAGAATATATATAAAAGGCTCAAACACTAATATTTCATGGTTATAATTCATTACATTGGAATCGTAATCACAACCCAGTTCATCATACCTACAAATCATATATATATATATATATATATATATATATATATATATATAAAAAGAAAGTGGTCTTTTCTCAAGCCAACATCTCCATAAAAAATTTTTAAATTTAATGAAAATGGTTAAAATATAACCTTTATATATATATATATTTAGGAATAAAAAGACAAGAGAAAAAACTATTTTTAGCCAATGCATTTCGTCCTCTGAGAGACTTTATCGAGACAAATCTAATGATAAATGCATTGTTAAAGTCCCTCAGAGGATCAAATGTGTAGGCTAAGAATAGTTTTTCCTTTTGTCTTTTTATTCATTTTGTTCCTTCACAGATACACTCTGTCTGTAAATAATATATATATATATATATATATATATATATTCAAACATGTTTCACTGAATAATATAGACATATTGTATGATAATCATAATATGTCTATATTATTCAACGAAACATATTTGAACGAAGATATGCTGCCTAAATTTACTTGCATATATGAGCATACATTCACCAGCAAACATAGTTAAAGTTAAAAAAAAATAAAACTCCCTAAAATTTCAATTTATTCAACAACTTAATTTACAAGTTACCAAATATTCAAAAATCAAAGAAAACACTGACTATGATTTTGAAGTTTTTAAATGGTTCAACATTTAAGTGTTATTTCAAGTTTTGTAAAGTAATTTTATGAAGATGTGATAAGATTTTGCAAAAAAAAAGGAAAAGAAAGTAGAAAAGAAAAAGGAATAAAAAAAAAAACAGAGTAAAAATCATGTGCTTACCTTTTAAAAGATACAGTGAAAATTTCTGATCAGGAAAGCTTCTGATGTCTGCCTTCTGGGGTGTCCTGCTCAAATTGACAAACATGTTAGCGATGAATCATTCATAGAATTTGACTCTGGACAGTTGCCACCAATGAAGCATTAGCAGCCAGTTTTTTTTCACCCCACCCACAAAAGAAATTCAGCATCCTCCCACTTGATCCCCCCTCACTATAAAAACGAGAAAAAATATTGAAAGCAGAAAAAATAAGAACTCTTTCTTGACAAATTTCTATAGGTTGTTTTGAGAAGATATGGAAGATTCTATTTTCTTTAATTCTCTAAATTTTGACTCTTTTTCTGAAAATAGCAGGAATCTTTCGTACAGTGATATGACTTGACTGAAACTTTTAGTTGTATCTTTTAGTCTTTTTTTTTTGGATCATACGTAATAAAAATAGAAAAAATTAAAATAATTGGGAATAAAATATGAAAATTAAAATAGTTATAATGTTTAAAGTTATGATAAAAATCATCAGTATTTTGTC